TTCCATAAACACTTCCTGTAAAGAAGCCCTATTTAGGCTTTCTTTATTGCAAGTTCTGTTTAATTAAGATTTTCTTATCCCCTGCTATGTTAATAGCTTGCTAGACCCTGCAAGAGCCTCCTGTATGTGATTAAAGTTCAATTTAGAGATTGAGATACAATTATTTAAGGTAAATTACATCTGTTTGAAAGTGAAACCAGTTTTTGTTTTTTTTCATGCAGGCTCTGTCAATCATAGCCAGGGGAGGTGTGGCTAGGGCTGCATAAACAGAAACAAAGTGATTTAACTCCTAAATGACAGTGAATTGAGCAGTGAAATTGCAGGGGAATGATCTATACACTAAAACTGCTTTATTTAGCTAAAGTAATTTAGGTGACTATAGTGTTCCTTTAAAAAGGAGAGGAAACCCACTATCAGCTAAAATGAGCAACACATAATGACCTTAACCATCATTTGTTTAGTGCTGCTCCCATGTTTGTGGGTCACTCAACCACCACCACCACTAATATTAGAAGGGGCTCTGGGACAGTTCAGTGAAGCAAAATTACAGAAGCGACACAGAACAAAATGATCCAGTTGTTTAGAGGTGAAGACATTTCTAACACTTTAATACATTGTCCATCCTTGACCCAAGGAGGTGGCCATCTTCCCCACTCACCTTAGACCTTGTCATCTCACTGGAGGCAAGGACGATGACCGTCTTTGCGGTCTCCTTGCTGAGAGTCTGCAAGTTGTTTTTAACCACAGTCTCCATTGCCCTCAGGATGATGGTACGGTGCATGTAAGATAGCTGTTGGAATTAGAAAAACATGGTAACAACACAATGACTCCTTGTAATGGCACCCCAGGTATAAAAGGGATGAAAGCCGTTTAGGATATTCCCCTCCCGAATGTAAAGGCAGCTACCGAACACTCCAATCAGCCGAACAAGCAAACACACGAATAATCCACACTCCAATCAGCCAAACAAAGAAAGCATTCGAATAACCCCCCCCCCCCCACCCAAGTACAAGACGAGGCTCTGTATTGAGGGTCAAGCAGGAATCTGTTTAATCTGGGCTACCTGCCCGCATTTTATGCAGGTTTCCCACCAGGTGGAAACTCCCCTAGGGAACCTGGTGGAAAACTGGGACAAAATAGTAAAGTGACCAATCAGAACAATACAGGAATAAACACTCCTTTGGTTACTGTGGACCCTCCTCTCTATCCTGGAGATAATTGGGAAGTAACTCAATTATCTCCAAGGATAGAGGACAAACTCCATTTTATAAACAGAGAAAAAAATGCATAAAAATATATAATTCCCAAACAACCAAATGAAACACCCACATTTATCCCCAGATAGCTTAGATCTGAGCGCACATTATTACCGAATGGCGCTCAGATCACATGCATACAGTTCAATCGTCATGGAGCCAAAGTCTTTCACATAGTCTTTCGTTATACGAATGGGCTCCATGGGATAGCTACCTGGGGTGACTCGGTTCATATTGCAAAGTACCGAACGGTACGGCGTTCGTATGAACTGAAGAATAGAAGAAGGGAGGTCGGTGGCTTCAGCGGTGTTCGTGAGAAAATAGTGTCCGTTTTTAGTTTCATTAAATAGTCGACGACCACCGCTGGGCATTCTTATGTCCAAGATGGCCGCCACGTGTTCGTTCATACGAATGATGACCACCCAGCCGACATTCGACAATTAGGAAGTGTCTGCGGTTAACCACAACGTTCTAATGAGGCCAAGAGTTAACAAGCAGCACACTTCCATGCTGGGTGGCCAGCCGTTCGGCAGTTCTTTCAGTGAAACGGGGAAATAGTGTAGGGACCGTACAGACAGGAAAATAGCTGCACAAACAGACGAATAAAGGAGGAATAAAAGTAGTTTAAAGACAGAGAGGTCTGTCACATCCCTCAAATAAGCTAGGAGCCTAAAACTGAAGAATTGGATTACCATGTGTATTGAGTGCAAAGATTGGGGAAAAGGCAAATGCAATTTAATGGAGTCACAATTGGTTGGAACAAGCACACCCTATTTATCAAGACAAAATCAACTATCTAAAATAAATGGATTACCTCCAGCAACACCAGGAAGAATATAAGAAAGACTGAGATCACCTCCACCGCTAGGGAAAACCTAAAAAAAAGACAGGCATTCATTCCATCACCGGTAAGAGTCTAATAAAGGCAGAGATCCCTCTATCACCGGGGAGCGTCTAATAAAGGCAGAGATCCCTCCATCACCGGGGAGCGTCTAATAAAGGGAGAGATCCCTCCATCACCAGGGAGAGAGTCTAATAAAGGCAGAGATCCCTCCATCACCGTGGAGAGAGTCTAATAAAGGCAGAGATCCCTCCATCACCGGGGAGAGTCTTATAAAGGCAGAGATCCCCTCCATCACCGGGGAGAGTCTAATAAAGGGAGAGATCCCTCCATCACCAGGGAGAGAGTCTAATAAAGGTAGAGATCCATCCATCACAGAGGAGAGTCTAATAAAGGGAGAGATCCGTCCATCACCGGGGGGAGTCTAATAAAGGCAGAGATCCCTCCATCACCGGAGAGAGTCTAATAAAGGCAGAGATCCCTCCATCACCGGGGAGAGTCTAGTAAAGGGAGAGATCCCTCCATCGCCAGGGAGAGAGTCTAATAAAGGCAGAGATCCCTCCATCACAGAGGAGAGTCTAATAAAGGCAGAGATCCCCTCCATCACAGGTGACAGTCTAATTAAGGCAGAGATCCTTCCATCACCGGGGGAGTCTAATAAAGGCAGAGATCCCCTCCATCACCGGGGACAGTCTAATAAAGGCAGAGATCCCCTCCATCACCGGGGACAGTCTAATTAAGGCAGAGATCCTTCCATCACCGGGGGGAGTCTAATAAAGGCAGAGATCCCCTCCATCACCGGGGACAGTCTAATAAAGGCAGATATCCCCTCCATCACCGGGGACAGTCTAATTAAGGCAGAGATCCTTCCATCACCGGGGGGAGTCTAATAAAGGCAGAGATCCCTCCATCACCGGAGAGAGTCTAATAAAGGCAGAGATCCCTCCATCACCGGGGAGAGTCTAGTAAAGGGAGAGATCCCTCCATCGCCAGGGAGAGAGTCTAATAAAGGCAGAGATCCCTCCATCACAGAGGAGAGTCTAATAAAGGCAGAGATCCCCTCCATCACAGGTGACAGTCTAATTAAGGCAGAGATCCTTCCATCACCGGGGGAGTCTAATAAAGGCAGAGATCCCCTCCATCACCGGGGACAGTCTAATAAAGGCAGAGATCCCCTCCATCACCGGGGACAGTCTAATTAAGGCAGAGATCCTTCCATCACCGGGGGGAGTCTAATAAAGGCAGAGATCCCCTCCATCACCGGGGACAGTCTAATAAAGGCAGATATCCCCTCCATCACCGGGGACAGTCTAATTAAGGCAGAGATCCTTCCATCACCGGGGGGAGTCTAATAAAGGCAGAGATCCCTCCATCACCGGGGAGAGTCTAATAAAGGCAGAGATCCCTCCATCACCGGGGAGAGTCTAGTAAAGGGAGAGATCCCTCCATCGCCAGGGAGAGAGTCTAATAAAGGCAGAGATCCCTCCATCACAGAGGAGAGTCTAATAAAGGCAGAGATTCCCTCCATCACCGAGGAGAGTGTAATAAAGGCAGAGATTCCTCCATCACCGGGGAGAGTCTAATAAAGGCAGAGATCCCTCCATCACAGGGGGGAGTCTACTTAAGGCAGAGATCCCTCCATCACAGGGGGGAGTCTAATAAAGGCAGAGATCCCTCCATCACCGAGGAGAGTCTAATAAAGGCAGAGATCCCTCCATCACCGGGGAGAGTCTAATAAAGGCAGAGATCCCTCCATCACTGGGGAGAGTCTAATAAAGGCAGAGATCCCTCCAACTACTAACGAGTAGTGATGTCCCGAACGGTTCGCCGAACGGTTCGCCGCGGACTCATCATTGAGTAAACTTTGACCCTGTACCTCAGTCAGCAGACACATTCCAGCCAATCAGCAGCAGACCCTCCCACCTCCTGGACAGCTCACTAAGAATGCAGATTCAAAATGGATGCTGTCCAGGAGGTGGGAGGGTCTGGGAGGGAGGGTCTGCTGCTGATTGGCTGGTATGTGTCTGCTGACTGTGAGGTACAGGGTCAAAGTTTACTCAATGATGAATCCGCGGCGAACCGTTCGGGACATCACGACTAACAAGTTTGTTTTCCTGGCACTATAGTGGTCCTTTAAGGAACAAGGCTCTTTACATTTCTGCAGTGTTTATGTTTAGCTGTACTTTTCCTCTTCCTCATTTACTGTACCTGTAACGGACCGTTTTCGCCCACAAGCGGTTAAAAACCGTTTAGGCAATATTCCCCTTTCTCAGCTGCACAGACAGCTACTGCAAGCACCAATCTCCTGAACTGCAAACCCACAAATTCACCAACTCCCGAACTGCATACCAAGTAGCACGCCAAACTCTCGAACTGGAGACACACGAATAGCTGCTAGCAGACAAATAGGAAAAGCCCCCAAGCGGCTTACACTCCTGGCAATCAGTCTCTAACAGCATACCGTAAATCCCCCCAAAGACGAGACGACACTTCGTTTTGAGGGTCGTTTTGGTTTACTGGGGCTAACTACCCGGCTTTTATACAAGCCTCCCACCTGGTGGACACTCCCCTAGGGGACCAGATGGGAGACTGGGACACAAAGGGTACAAGAACCAATCAAAGACTTACACATTTCAACATCCCACAATGCATCACAATCCCTCCTGTCTGTCCTGGAGATAATTGGAAAGTAATCCAATTATCTCCAAGGACAGAGACAAAACTCCATTACACACATTTTCAGTAAAAGACATAAAATTACATACAGCCACATTTATTACATAAAACATACACATTCTACATGTCCCCAGATAGCTTAGATCTGAGCGCATATTACTACCGAATGGCGCTCAGATCACATACATATAGTTCAATCGCCATGGAGCCAAATTCTTTCACATAGTCTTTCGTTACACGAACAGGCTCCATGGCTTAGCTATCTGGGATGATGCTGTTCATCCGGTTAAACTACTGAATGAACAGTCATTCGGTTCCGCTACCGAATGGGAAGGTAAGGAGCCTGGCGGCTCAGCAGTGTTCACGCCAATAAGTGTCCGTTTTCAGTTCCATAGTTTGGGCACTGAACACCGCTGGCCGTTCGGGAGGTAAAATGGCCGCTGCCACGTGTTCGGCAAACGAACAAAGGCCACCAAGCGTTCATCAATTAAGCTGCGGTTAACCGCAGCTTCTGGGCGGTCAATTGACGGCACACTCCAGTTCCCAGGTGGTCCATTGTTCGGTAGTTTGTTCGGTAGATGGAATCTACCGAACACCCTGTCAGAAAGGCACGAATAAACCTTTCAGCAGGGAAAATAACAGGTCTGAACTGCAGGGACATAGTCTAAAGGGAGTAAGCGAGCAACCAGGCTTCTCCAGTGCATAGTGGCGAGGTTGGTTCCACCACAGTACCCACACATCATATTTACACAATTTTTCTCGCCATTAAATGGTCTTTCTAAAAATACCATTATTTTCATCACATCATATAATTTACTGTTACGGTACACGCAGGTAGAAGAGGGGTTAACTCCGCTAAGGACGTTCCCCTTGCGAAGGGAGAAGCAGCTAACGAACGCTCCAATTAGCCGAACAGGAACCATACGAAATACTCCACGATCCAAACCACACGAATAATAATCCCCCCAATGACGAGACAAAGCTCCGTATTGAGGGTCAACCAGTGATCTGTTTAATCGGGGCTACCTGCCCGGTATTTATGCGGGTCTTCCGCCAGGTGGACACTCCCCTAGGGGACCTGGTGGAAAACTGTGGCAAATATAATGCAGTAGCCAATGGAAACACTTTGGCTATAAACCCTTTTACTGTACACTATAAACCCTTTTACTGTACAGAACCCTCCTCTCTATCCTGGAGATAATTGGGAAGTAACTCAATTATCTCCCAGGATAGAGGCTAAACTCCATTTTACACGAGGTGGAGAAAATGCGTAAAAATACATAATATGACAATAACCAAAGGAAATATATAGGTTCAACATATCCCCAGATAGCTTGGATCTGAGCGCACATTATTACCGAATGACGCTCAGATCCCATGCACATAGTCCAATCGCCATGGAGCCAAAGTCTGGTACATAGTCTTTCGGTATACGAATAGGCTCCATGGGATAGCTATCGGAGGTGAGTACATTCGTGAGGTAAAACTACCGAACGGGATGGTGTTCGTTTGTAAGGTCCATGTGGGAAGGGAGGTCGGCGGCTTTAGCGGTGGTCGTGCAATTCAGTGTCCATTTTTAGTTCCACACAATTCTCGACTAACATAGCTGGGCATTCGTACGTCCAAGATGGCAGCCGCCTCGTGTTCAGTATACGAACGACGACCACCCAGCCTACCTTCAACAATTAGGAAGTGTCTGTGGTTAACCACAACGTTCTAATGAGGCCAAGAGGTTAACCAGCATCACACTTCCACGCTGGGTAGCCGGCTGTTCGGAAGTTCATTCGGGAGTTGGGGAAACAAACAAACGGGGTGTACGGACAGGCAATTAACCGAACAAACAGACGAACCAAGGAGGATTAGAAATAGTTCAAAGACAGATGAATCTGTCACATTTACCATAATTTATAAAATAAAAAAAAAATAAAAAAAAAAAAAAATTTTTCTAACTTTGACCCCCAAAATCTGTTACGCATCCACAACCGCCAAAAAACACCCGTGCAAAATAAATAATAAATAGTAGAGAACCAAATGTGTCACTTTAATAGAAAGTGACCACAAGGTTAAATTTCCAATCCACTCCACTAAGATCCTAAAGGAGAAAATAATAATAAATAACAAAAGAACTTTATTAGCACCTCTAAAAAGTACTAGGACAAATTAAAGGACCACTATAGTGCCAGGAAAACACTCGTTTTCCTGGCACTATAGTGCCCTGAGGGTGCCCCCACCTTCAGGGTCCCCCTCCCGCCGGGCTCTGGAGAGAGGAAGGGGTTAAAATCTTACCTTTCTCCAGTGACGGGCGGGGAGCTTTCCTCCTCCTCTCCTCCTTCCTAGCAATGTAATTGGCTGAATGCGCATGCACGGCAGGAGCCGCGCGCGCATTCAGCCAGTTCATAGGAAAGCATTGTATGGACGTTGGCGTCTTCTCACTGTGATTTTCACAGTGAGAAGCACGCAAGCGCCTCTAGCGGCTGTCAATGAGACAGCCACTAGAGGCTCTAGAGGCTGGATTAACCCTCTCTGAAACTGCTATGTTTTTTTTTAAAAAAAGGGTTATTCCTAGCTGGACCAGGCACCCACACCACTTCATTAAGCTGAAGTGGTCTGGGTGCCTATAGTGGTACTTTAAACAGTGTAGCTCAATAATAGATAGTCAATAATAAGCATACCACACTAGTTCCAAACGGGTATGGATTGGCAGTACAAGAACTAACTGAAGCGATAGCAATGTCCCCCTTTTTGTGTGTTTACGCTCTCATGGAAGTATATACAGCACTGGTTACGACAGAGCCTAGTGTGATCTTCCAGAAGCAAAAACTAAAACAAAAAAGGAATAGTGAGAGATATGCTAAATGGTGAGAACAAAGCACACAGGAAAAAATATATAAAAAGAAGGGTATATACAGAGAGATAAGTAATAGGGATATAACCAATTAAATCCACCTCTCTAGGGTTACCAGAAGTCTGTGGTAAGGGTATCCCTAGTCTCTAGACCCTAAATCTCCTGTGAACACCTTCATGGGTATTCTATGCTTATACTCCATCTAGGGTAATTCCCTCAAGTTCTCAATTGCTATCTAAGTACTAAAGGCAAAAATGTAAAAAAACAAAAAAAACTTAAAATAAATCAAGTGAAAAAAGTGCGTGCATAGTGATAAGGTGCTCCATAACGGAGGGACCCGTGAAAAAAACCCGGCGTGATAATATACCGTCCTCAGGGACAAACGTGAATGTGACTGTAACAGTTCCCCCTTGTTTTTCGTTGGATCTGTAATTCCTGTGAACAAGCCATTCGTTTAAAACTTTTGTATAAACGGACTTTAATGGATGCTAGAGTAAAGGTCGTTCGAATCACAAATTTCCCACCAAACGCCCGACCCCCCAGTACAGAAGTGGGGCACTCATTTACCTTCCTGACTCAAAGAACACCTCGAAAACCACAAATACTCCATCATGTTAATCGCTATACAGGGTGGTCGGCATTTGTTTGCACGAACACGTGGTGGCGGCCATTTTGTTTAGTCGAACACACTCAGCGGTGTTTGGTCGTTGAACGCGTGGAACTATTTTCGGCTACCTTTTCCACGAACACTGCTGAAATTTCTTCCTTCCATGCGAATGGAGCGCTCTTTCTCCAGAATAAACTCACGAACAAGCCGCATCTAAAGAGAGTAAGCAAGAACAGATCCGTCCGTGCAATTTGAACTTCATGCGAATGGAAAAATAGACCGGCCGCACAGCCTGAATCTGTGGAACTGTGTTTTGGGCATACAAACAGGCGTGCGGTCGGTCCAAAGAGACTTTTATCTATCTCCCGAACGGATTCAAGTTATGCTGATTATAAAAATATAAGTTTTATTCGTATACGATGTAAAATCAGGAAGTTATAAAAATGTATAAAAAGCATAATTTTTCAGCTTGGAGATAATTGAGTAGATACAGTAAGAAACTCAATTATCTCCCAAGCAGAGGGGAAGGAATATGTGGGTTGTAACCATTGTTTGATTGATCAGTGGGTGTCTCCCTTGCATGGGAAGACTGCATAAAAGGAGAGTATCTGCCATTAAACCTTCAGTTCTTCTTCACCCTCAATCTAGAGTCTTGTCTCTTATTGAGAGTAACAGCTATCACACTAGCTCTTATAAGAGCTTCTTCACATGGATCACGACTGGATGCTGAGAATCCTCCTCACTGATCAGGAAAAGGACACCCTCCAGCGGTGGAAACCCCTCTGCTACCCGGGGTAACCACTACATTAGTGGCAGCAGCAGGATGGTCCTATCTCCCCAGAGGAGGTGCTACATCTATGGAGTATGAGAAACTGAAATGGCCAACATTGAAGGATTTGCTGGAGAGTCGTGGGCGTTCAGCTAGCAACAGACCACAACGGGAATTGATAGCTGAGCTGGTCGAAATGGACCAAAACACCACCATACAGTAGAGTGAAATAATATATCACATTATCCCAGTGAGTAGTACCTATAGTGATAAATACTCTAACACCTTAGTGAGTTTTCCCTTAAAACCTCAAAGTAAACAGCAATATACATACAATTTAAAGTTCTTGTTTGTTATAAAGAATTGTAATGGTTCCTGGACAATATGTTCTAGGAATAAAATGTAAACAAACAGATAATAGTGCAATATAGCCAGGGCTGCCACCAGAAATTTTGGGGCCCCTGACACAGCCCACCATCTGGGCCCCCCGGGGCCACCCCCCAAGTCAATCCACATGACCTGCCCCAAGCTTGCCCACATGACATGCCCCCACTTTGTGTAGTGGACAGAGTGTGTGTGTGTATAGTGGATGTATTTTGTGTATAGTGGATGTATAGTGTGTATAGTGAATGCAGTGTGTGTGTTTGTGTAGTGGGTGTAGTGTGTGTGTGTGTGTATAGTTAATGCAGAGTGTGTGTTTGTGTACTGGATGTAGTATGTGAATAGTGAATGCAGATTGTGTGTTTGTGTAGTGGATGTAGTGTGTGTGTGTATAGTTAATGCAGAGTGTGTGTTTGTGTAGTGGATGTAGTGTGTGTATAGTTAATACAGTGTGTCTGTGTAGTGGATATAGTGTGTGTGTATAGTAAATGCAGAGTGTGTGTTTGTGTAGTGGATATAGTGTTTGTGTGTATAGTAAATGCAGTGTGTGTGTTTGTGTAGTGGAAGTAGTGTGTATATAGTGACTGCAGAGTGTATGTGTAGTGTATGTAGTGTGTGTATAGTGAATGCAGTGTGTGTTTGTAGTGGATGCTGTGTGTGTAGTGGATGATGTGTGTAGTGGATGCAGTTTATGTGTTTATCTGGTTTATGGTGTGTTTATGTGGTGGATGATGTGTGTGGTTGTGTAGTGGATGATGTGTATGGTCATGTGGTGGATGATGTGTATGGTCATGTAGAGGATGATGTGTATGGTTGTGTAGTGGATGATGTGTGTG